ACCCGGCATTGGCTCCAATCACCACATCCCCTCACACCTCTTTCCCCACCTCCTCCCCGCTTTCCCCTTTCCGTCTCCCCTTCCTCCTCCCATCAAGCAGAGCGTACTAGACGCGGTGAGGCGGGCGGCGAGAAGGGCAGAGTCGGCTTCCGTTGCCAGACCCGTAAAGTCGTCATGTCGACCCTTCTCTGCCCTTCGACCCGGCCTTGGCTCGAATCACCTACATCCCTTCACATTTCCTTTCCCACCTCCTCTTCTCCGCCTTCTGCCACCATCCCCCTCCCTCCTAAGCAGAGCATACTACAAGTGCGGAGAAGCGAGCGGCGAGAAGGGCAGAGCCGGTTTCCGTTGCCCGGCGCGTAAAGTCGTCGACGTAGACCCTTCTTTGCCATTCGACCCGGCCTTGGCTCGTATCACCTACAGCCACTCACACAACCACCCCCCACCCTCCACCTTCTCCGGACGTCTCCGCCTCCGAACCAGCACTGCCGAGCCTGGTGTTTCTGAGCCTGGTGGTTCCGAGCCTGGTGCCGACGCGGGTGGTGCCGAGCCTGGGGCCGAGTCTGCTGGTGCCGACGAACCTCGTGTTGGTGGTATGGACGAAGATGTGAGGATGGAGGAGGGAGGGGGAGGGGGGGAGGGTGATGCTGCTGCCAGTGGTTCTGCTGGTGATGCTGCTGCTACTGCTGGTGTTGCTGGTTCTGCTGCAGGTGCTGCTGCTGCTGCCGGTGGTGGTGTTGGTATCGACTGTAGGACCGGGAGAACAGGTGAGACAGTTGGGCCTGTTTTCATTATTCAGAGGGCTCAAGGGGCGCTTAGCCTTCAGCAGCAGTTGCACCAGCTGCAGCAGAGACAGCTGGCTCAACAGCAGCACCAGCAGCAGGAGCAGGAACAGCAGCAGCAGAAGCAGCAGCAGGAACAGCAGGATCAGAAGCAGCAGCAGCAGAGGCAGCAGCAGCAAGAGCAGGAACAGGAGGAGCAGAAACAACAGGATCAGCAGAAGAAGAATATGCAGCAGCAGCAGCAGCAGCAGCAACAACAGCAGCAACAACAGCAGCAACAGCAGCAGCAACAACAACAGCAGCAGCAACAGCAGCAGCAACAGCAGCAGCAGCAGCAGCAGCAGCAGCAGCAACACCACCTCCACCAACAACAGCAGCAGCAGCAATTTCTGTCGCTACTAATGGCATCCCTCCAACAGGGAAGAAACACCTCCGCTGCTACAGCCACCGCTGCTGCTACAGCCACCGCTGCTGCTACATCTGCTGACGTCCCAAGAAACGCAGCTGTCCAAACAGCCAGAGCAGCAACAATAGGTATCGTCAATAACCCCATGGATGACACTCACCCATCTGGTCCAGCAAGCAACAGCATGATGAGCCGCGTTGCTACAGCCCCCCTCACCACGCCTGCTACAGCCAGCGCTGGGATTGGCAGCGCTGGGATTGGCAGCGCTGGGATTGGCAGCGGCAGCGGCAGCGGCAGCAGCAGCGGTGGCAGCGGTGGCAGTGGTGGCAGCAGCAGCATGGGGGGTGTGGGTTCCCATGCAATGCAGAATCCTGTTCCTCCAGCGGCCCCTCCTGCTTGTCTGCTCTCCCTGCTTCATGCCTCCTCTGCTCCCCCTGCTTCTGCTGCTGCTGCTGCTGCCTCTGGTGCAGCCACTGCTGCTGCTGCTGCGTCTGCAGCTCCTGGTTTCACTCCTCTGAGGGTGCCTCATGTAGTAGCAGCAGCAGCAGCAGCATCCGGAGCAGCACAGCACACACCCCACACACTCTTTACACACTCTGCAACACTCACAACGAAACTCACCCCCTCTACACTGACGGCCAGTACACTCACACCTTCAAACCCCACCCCATCCCTTGCAGCGGCGCTGCTTCCTAAAATATCCCAAGGAATCGCCCAATCGTGCGATCCGCTGATGTCACTCGTGCCGCCCGCTTTCTGGCCGACCATGGCAGAGTACGTCGCAGCTGCCGGGAAGCTTCCCAAGTGTGTTGCCCCGCTGGGATTGGCCGTTGCCCACGTGGCAGCCCTGTCAGCAGGCTTATCCGCCATGTCAGAGAGCGGAGCAGTGAGAGCAGCAGTAGCAGGAGGAGGAGGCGGCGGAGGAGAGGCAGCAGCGGCAGCAGCAGCACCACAAGCAGCACAACCAGCAGCGGCAGCAGCAGCAGTGTTGCCAGCAGTAATAGCAGCGGCAAAGACATTGGTCGCAGAGGCAGAGGCAGCAGCAGCAGTGCTCGTAGCAGAGGCTCTCAAGGCCTGTGACAGAGAGCCTCCTGCCTCTGCTAATCCCTCCTCTGCTCCTCCCTCCATTCCTCCATCCACTGCTGCTGCTGCACCTGCTGCTGCACCTGCTCCTCCCCCCGCTGCTCCTAAAGCGTATGTTGCTTCAGGTTCAGCGGAGCAGGCAGCGCTACGGGCCATCCTCGCGGCAGCAGCGCACGTGGCACCACAGCAGGCGATAGCAGCAGCAGCAGCGCACGTGGCACCACAGCAGGCGATAGCAGCAGCAGCACACGTGGCACCACAGCAGGCGATAGCAGCAGCAGCAGCTGCTGCTGCTGCTGGCATGCCACTCACTAATACTGACTCTCACATGAGTTTCCGGGGCAGCGTAGGGGCCGAGACACACAAGAGTGCTCCGTCTACCGTAGGCGCTGACACACCCATGACTGCTCAGGGCAGCATAGGCGTTGACAGAGACACACACATGGGTGCTCGGGGCAGCTTCGGCGTTGACAGTGACACTCATATGGGTGCTCGGGGCAGCTTCGGCGTTGCCACTGACTCTCATATGAGTGCTGAAGTGAGCGTGAAGGAAGAGGCACACCTGAACGCCCCTGGCAGTATGGGGTTGGACGCACACTTGAGTCACCAAGCAGAGGGAGGGAAGACCAGGCACGTGGGTAGGCACGTGGGTAGGCACGTGGGTAGGCACGTGGGTAGGCATGTGGGCAGACACGTAAGCTATCTGGCCATTCCCTCTCGCACCAGAAACCCCTTTGGGTCTGGATCAATCGGCCATGCGCTGCCTCGGATGAGCCATGGGCTCGTGCCTTCCTCCTCCTCCCCTCTCTCTGCTCCCTCCTCCTCTCCTCTCTCACCTTTATCCAGCCCAATCTACCAAACTGCAGAGCATAGCCTGCAGTACCACCAGCAGCAGCAGCACCACCACCACCACCACAGCCGCCACCACCACCACCACCAACAGCAGCAGCAGCAGCAGCAACAGAAACAGGTCTCTCCCCCTTACCGCCCTCTCTCTCCCCTCCCTCCGCGGCCCCCCTCGCCCCTAGCCACTGTCAACCCATCTCTCTCCTTCTCGCTCTCTCTCGTCCCCTCCCCGCCCGCCAAGGCATGGAGGGGTGACACCCTCTCGTCCTCCTCACCATCCTCCTCCTCACCCATCGCCTCATCTCATGCCATGTCCAACACTCCCACACAAAACACCCCCACACATACCACCCCTACACAGACCACCCCAACGCATACTACCCCAACCACACCAACAGATGGGACTTCAACCTTGGGTGCCACTCTCTCATTATCACCTGACGTTCCAGCAGCAGCAGCAGCAGTGGCAGCGGCGGCGGTGGCAGTGGCGGCGGTAGCAGCAGGGAAAGTATCAGCTAAGGCCGAGAGCGCAGGGGCGAGCAGCAGCAGCAGCAGCATTGCAAAGGCCCTAGAAAGAACCCTTTCCCTGGGGGACAAGTCAGCTACTATCAGTCGCCTGGGCCTCACTGAGAACGACCCGGCTGTTCGAAAACACTTCCCTCGCAACTCCTCCTCCTCCTCGCTTTCCACCCACTTCCTCTCCGCGCATTCTGCCTCTCTCCAGGCGAACACCGGATTGGCTCAGTCCCTTCCGAACCATGTGCTACGGGCTAGTGAGGCGTCGCCCGCTAAGAAGCGGAAGAGTGTAGAAGGGGGTGCTTTGGATTGTTTCCAGGAGCCGCGGAATGGTATAGAGGGTTCTTTTTTGGGGATGTCTTCGGCTAGTTACAGTGGTGGTGATGTCCGTGTTTCTGGCGGTTATGGGGAATACGTGCGTCAAGGTGAGAGGCAGAAGGGGAAAGTAAAGGAAGAAGAACGAAACAGCAATGCTCCTATGGAAGGCATAGATCTTGCTCTTAGCTTGGGATAAGGTATTTTTTATCTTTCCATTGGGAGTTAACAAGCTCTTTAAACTCGTTTTTTTTCTCACGTTTATAAGTTTGGCTTTGAGAGTGGAGAGCCGAAACCCCTTCATTTCTCTTAGCAAATTCTGGTTCCTACTGACTTTCAATATTCGCCCTTTTGGGATCTGTTGTGGAAATGACCAGTAGCGCCGTCGTCTGCTCTGTCGGTCGCGGTCGCCTTCTTCTCCCAAACGTCGGTTGAGCAAGTCGCATCCAGTCGTTAACGGTGCATCGCGGGTACTGTATATTTTGGGCCGTTGTTGGCCCGTGAGAATGAAGCAAACTCAATTCCAATTCCCGCTGACCCCGCCAAATTCATCTCGTCGAGCCGCTGTGATTGGTCATATTGTGCCGTCGCACACTTGGGCGACTGTGAGTTTCCTCGCAAGCGACATGTATTTACTCAGCCCTGCCCTTACTTGTTGACCGACGAAACCAGCCGCGCTTCGGGAAAGCCGCCACACCCAAGCCACGACGCTGAACCCCAAAACGAGAACATCTCGAGTCGCGCATTGGAAACGCTGGAGGCGTGAATCTTTGGAGCCGCGCGAATCTCCTTGGTTTTGGTTGCTGATTGATGGATCCACCCAAGCAGCAACACCACCGACGGTGGTTCGCAAAAACTCGCATATTCAAATAGCCATAGATGTTGCATCATAATCATTCAGCTAAGGTTGCTAGTCCTACTCAATTCTAGTTCCTTAGCTCTCCAATCAAATCCAGTTTCCCCTGCTACTTTAGCATATTCATACTTGGCTTCGTTCCTCGTTTGATTCTGGAATTGTTTTCCTTCCTTCAAAGGACGCCGCACTCGTCGCCATGGCCAGGTTCCTATCGCTCGCGCTTTTGGCGGTCCTCGTCGTCGGGGTGGTTACTCCCCTGGAGGCAGCGCCGAAGATGTCGCTGTACGAGAAGAACCTGAACGACGTGATCACCGTCGTCAAGGCGAAGCCCGGTTACAAGGCTTTCGCATCACTCGTCGGCGCAATTCGTAAGTGGCACATACACGGGTTCCGCATCAGTTTCGCTTGACAAGTTCGTGGTCGATTCTTCACTTTCAGACAATCTCTAAATCCAACGTTAAAACTATCTTTTCTTCCTTCTTTACCCCCCACCCTATCCCTCCTCTCCGCCGCCCCCCGTCCCCCCCCCCCCCCCCCCCCCCTCCACCACCTTTTTCTCCCGATTCCTTTACCAGTCAAGCAATCGCAGCTGAAGAGTCTCGTCCAGCAGAACCTGACCATCTTCGTTCCCAACGACAAGGCTCTTAACGACTTCAACCTCACCCAGTACGCCACGGCCGACCTCCTTAAGGTCGTCAAATACCACGCCGTCAAGGGCACGTACACCTTCGCGCAGCTGCAGGCGCTCGCCGCATCTGGCGGGAAGCTCCAGACGACCCTCGGTCTGACGATCTCGCTGACCCCGACGAAGAAGGGCGTCGGCATGTTCGGCATGGAGAAGATCGGCGCTGCTGTCCTCGATAAGGACATCTCCATTAAGCCGACGGTGGTCGCGCAGGGAATTTCCCGCGTGCTTAAGCCTAAGGGCTTCGTTATCAAGGGCGCGGGCGCGGCTCCCCCGACGACTAAGTCACCCGCGACTAAGTCTCCGACTCCTACGACTACCTCTCCTAAGACTCCGAAGACTCCCAAGGCTCCCAAGACCACCGCATAAAGTGGGTTCTTCTCTGACTCTGCCAGGTTTCGAGCCACGGAACGGAGCTACTATATTGTAGCCGAAGACATGTGGCTTCTGACAACGGTTGTTGGAGCTACATAAATATCATGTCGGAAAGCCAAAAATAAGGCTTATACGTTAGATTTAGACGTCAGTAACTTGTAGGCAAATGATGTATTTATTTATTATTCGTTAAATTCCCCTACACCACCTTAAAAAAACCAGACCCAGAGTCTACAAGATTCCTAATTCCTTACTGGGTCACATCACAACGTATGCATCCGACCCCAACTTTCGGAAGACCACCTCACATCCCCACAACGTCGCGTTCGAGCTCGACAATCTCTAACCAGCACCCAACCTCGCTGTCCAGTGGTCCCCGCCTAGAAAGACCCTTCGCTATATCAGTGCTAGTGCCATTTTGCTTGATCATTAGTTGTACTAGTGTCGTATTGCCTTCCTCACACTTTATTTGTTAATACTGTATAGGGATATTCCGGACACAGCTTTCCTGCAGCGGCGGAATTTGATTGGGACTACAGGCTGCTGCGGGGTCTCATGTGACATCGCGATCAGTGCGACGCATGAGTTCACCCCTCAAAATGGATCCCGCCATCTCCTTTGACCGCGAATTAGAAACTATTGATAATTTCTGGTTGTAAACCATTTTTTCGCCAAATAATGGCGGGAATACACATTAAACTCATAGTACCTGCTGCGGTCACAAGTTGATCGTGGCCTAGGATCTACTCAGGAAGGTTCGCACGCAGAGAAGTGATGTTGGTGGGCCCTTGACCTCAATAGCAGAGTGAATGTAAAATGCTTTGAGATGATTTAAAACATGCAAATACAGCAAATATAAATATGAGTACAGGGGAGATGAAACGACCTAGCTAGCCATGTACTCTAAGGGGTACATTCCCTTATTCAAATACATTCCCAACCGTGCGGCGCGAACAGTTACGAAATTGTTCCCGCCGAAACCATCCTGCCTGCAGCTGCCTGATGATGTCTGCTCCGACGGTCCAGATGCGTCCCAACTGTCTGACGCTTCGAGTCGATTCCAACCGTCTGACGCTTCGCGTTCATTCGCGATACTGCGTGCTGTGAAGAAACGAGGAATGAGTGAACTAGGAAATGAGTTGGGTACAAATATGAAACCCTAGAAAGCTGTACCCCATACTGTCTACCCCACTACAGCCTAGATAGACCATAGCATATAAGTTCGACACACCCCCATAGGCAAAGTGGGGGAGAACAAGGGGTCACAAGACCAGTCAAGCAAAGCACAGCAAGCTCAGGGTGGATCCCAACATCACCACACATTCTGAGCACAAGTTCAAGGGCCACAAGGCCAGTTCACATGCAAGCATACATATATAAAGCTAAACATGCAAGTGCAAGTATATATAGGTCACAGTACAAGCAAGGTCAAGAAGTGAGCAAGTGAGGCAAAGTAGGTACAAGACCTAACAGAGTACAGAAGCGCTGATGATCACAAGGCGCGAGTGCCTTGGTGAAGATATCAGCAGTGTTGGCCTGAGAGGCCACGTAAGCAAGTCGTAGCTGACCACGCTGCTGCAGCTCACGAGCAAGGAAGTAGCGAAGAGCAATGTGCTTCGTTCTGTGCTCCAGTCTGTGCTCCCGACACAAGGCCAGCATGGTCTTGTTGTTTACGTATAGAACTGGAGGAGAACAAGGCGGCTCTCCAAGGTCAGTCAGCAGGTAGGTGAGCCAGCGTAACTCCTGTGCAGCCATGGCCCCCGCGTAGATCTCAGCCTCACAACTGGAGCCGAGAACAGAAGACGAGCGGGTAGACCGCCACGAAACAGAGCCGGAACCAAGGCTGACCAGTGAGGACCACTGGACTCCACCCTCCAAGCACAAGCCCAATGCCCGACGTACTGCACAAGTAGCGCAACACCCTCTTCGCTACAGCCATGTGCTCTGGTCTGTGTCTCCCAGGAGCAACATAGCGTGCCAGAATGCTAAGAGGGTATGCAAGGTCAGGTCGAGTGCATGTCATCAGGTACATGAGGCAGCCAACAAGCTCTGGGTACGGGCCACTCGACTCTACGGACTCATCCGAAGGCAGAGCTGAGAGCGAGTGGCGAGTACACAGAGGAGTGGCCTGAGGCGAGGAGTACGCGAAGTCGAAGCGCTGAAGGACCTGCTGCACCATGTGTGACTGAGTCAGGGTAATGGTGCGCTGTGCTCTGTCCCGGGTGATCTGCAAGCCAAGGTAGCTGTGCAGTTCACCCAGGTCTGTGCACGTGTGTCTCTTCTGCAGCTCGGACTTCACGTGGGCGAGTCCAGCAGTGTCAGCTATGGCAAAGACCAAGTCGTCGACGTACACGAGGATGTAGAACGGCGGCAAAGAAGTGTGGGTGCGCAGAAACAGCGACGGGTCGGCAGTAGAAGGAGCAAACCCAAGAGCCGCAAGTGTAGTCCTCAGTGTGTCGTGCCACTCACGAGGTGCCTGGCGGAGACCGTAGACTGGCCGCCGGAGGCTCCACTGGGTACCAGGAGGAAAAGACCCAGTGAAGCCAGGTGGACGGCGCAGCCAGATCTCCTCGTGCAGGCTACCCTGTAGGAAAGCAGTGCTGAAGTCAAGAGAGTGAAGCTCGTAGTCGCGCTGAGCGGCTATGTGCAGTAGCACCCGAAGAGTGGTCATCTTCAGGGTGGGAGAGAAGGTCTGAAACTAGTCAACTCCCTGCCGCTGACTGAAGCCACGAGCCACGTAGCGTGCCTTGAAGACAGGCGGAGAACCCGGCGGCCGCTTCACCCTGAAAATCCACATGCCACTGACGATGTTCGCCCCAGGAGGGGGAACCTCGTCGACGTAGGTGCTTGTGGACTTCCAGGAAGCCATCTCTGCATCCATGGCTGCCTGCCACTGAGAGGAGTAGGGACCCTCTATCGCCTCCGCGTAAGAGCGCGGAGTCGGGATGTCTAGTGCATCCGGGTCTCCCTCAGGGGCAAGCAGCATGGACACAAGATGAGGTGAAGCAGCAGAAAAGCACTGGAACTCCTCCTGCCTGTCCTCAAGGACGTCCGTGCCAAGGGCACACTCACCCCCGACGGACGGAGGACAGACAGACGCAGACTCAGCGACAAGACTAGCAGCGTAGTCTAGGCGACAGCGAGCAGCGAAGTCGACAAGCTCAGAAACTAAGGCAGACGCAGCAGCGGACTCAAAGGAAGGGTCAGTGACGACAGTAGCAAGGAGACGTGTGACAGTAGGACTGGGAGCACGAAGGGAGTCCGACTCCGGGTCAGCAAGAACAGGAAGAGAGGACTCAGGAGGAGAAGGCAAAGGGGCACGCAGCGGAGCAGTGGAGGGACGCAGAGACATCCGGTGCGTGCCTGGGACAGGGGGAGGACGCTGACGCGAACCACGACTACTAGTGCGCTCAGCACGGACAGACGACGCAGGACGAGATGCAGGCTCACGACGCTCAGCAAGACCTCCAGTAGGACCAGTGTAGGGAGAAGGAGTAGGCAGAGGAGAGGTAGGCTGTAACTGTGACTCGGACTGGACAGGCGGTGGACACTCTAAGGGAGGAGCCGGACTAGCAGAGGGCGGAAGACCAAGAACCTGCTCAAGGAGCGGAACGAAGTACGGCCGCGGCCGCTCAGCACCACCAGCACCAGAAGGGACAGCACCAGCACCCCGAACGACAGCACCAGCGCCAGCAGCACCCCCAGCTCCAGTAGCGCCAACTCCAGTACCCTCAGAGGCACCAGCATCAGAGGCACCCTCAGTGCCAACACCCCCAGCAGCTCCAGCTCCAGCCGGACCACCAGAAGACGCAGCGGGTCCAGCTCCAGCACCCTCAGTAGCACCGACGCCCGCAGCACCACCATCTCCAGTACGAGAAGCACCCGCAGGCCCAGCAGCTCCAGTACTCCCAGTACGAGCACCTCCGGGACCCGCGGCACCAGCACCCTCAGCAGCAGCAGAACCTCCAGCACCCGCAGCACCTCCAGCTCCAGCAGCTCGCCTCCAGCGCCGGGCAAACCACTCACGCAGCTCCTGTGGAGAGAGTAGCTCCCGCCGGGACGAAGGACCCGAAGAACCTCCAGGCCCAGTACCGCCAGACGCCACACGAGCAGGTCCAGCACCCTCAGACTCCGCACCTCCAGACGCAGCACCCCCAGGCGTAGCACCCCAAGGCTCAGCACCCCCAGAGTCAGCACCCCCAGGCTCAGCACCCCCAGGCTCAGCACCCCCAGAGTCAGCAGCTACCTCGACAGGGTCGACTGCGTCTACCTGAGACACACCTGAGGGGGCAGGACCCTGAGGGGGGA